GAGGCAAACCGAACGCGTGGTATGTCGGCAACAAAGGGTTAGAGACCAGCTGAACGCTTGATTAAGAAATGGAGAGGGAGGAATTAAGTCATGCAATTCCTTTTTTTTCCTGTACTCATGCTCCGAAATATCCTGTAAAAAAACGAAAGCTTGGCTACTTTGCGGTTGTGCTCGAGGTTGGTAAGATTGGTTCTAACCATGTGATGTCACCAATAAGCCTCTTTTCATTAAGTCCAAAGCCGCTGTATTTTGGTTAATAGGGCAATATCATCTAATTTACGTATCTCATTCAAAATCAGCATAATATTTATTTGTCTTAAATATTTAACTTTTATTGTTTTTAAATTATTCGTTGGATCGCCTCCAGTCTATCAAAATAGATATATCATTGTGGGTTTCACACGCAGTAACAAATCTAGAGCATGCACACGCACATATAAATAATATAGAATTTTGATCGTTCTAACACTAGAACACTAGTAGCTCCATTTTAACAGAAATCCCATGGCCATACTGGCCTTTTTCATGATAATGTCAACGTGTATCACATCGTAAGTCAGTTTAGAATCGTGAATTGCACGTTAGTCACGTATTTCTTCTGCAATTTTAAGCTCTTGATCTTTGATTTTATAAGTAAACCATGTGATTTTAGTTTTGTGATTGAATGTCATTAAGTTGCACCTGCATTTAGATCTTTTAAATATGTTTCAAACCTACATATGCCGTGCTGTAGGGTTTAGGAATACGTGGAAAGAGAGGAGATATTGTGGAAGACAATTCATTTTGGAATATTTGTTGAGTTTTTATAATTAAACTCAAAATACGGAATTAATAGCACTTTAAAATTTTTTAACTTATATCCTACAATGATAAAACCCCATCAAATAATAAGTTCCTATTTTATTTCCCTCTTATTCCTCTGTTTTCCCTCTAGATAATGACCCTAGGCCCTAGGGCAAATCTCCTCAGTTTCAAGGCACTCCCGCTTGCCTCAACCAGTATCGGAATCCTCGGAGTCGACATATCGAGTGACGTCCAGTTCCGTGGTCACTTGGAAGAGAAGGCCAAATTGGCCTCTAAAAAGCTTGGCGTGCTCAGCAGAGCGGGACAGTAATTCATGCCGGCACACCGCCTGCAACTTTACAAGGCGAAGGTTCGGCCTCACATGGAATACTGTTCCCATCTCTGGGCAGGGTCTCCCCAGTGCCAGCTCCTTCCACTTGACCGTATCCAACGCAGAGCGGCTCGAATAGTCGACGACCGAGTCTTTTCCGATCGGCTCGATTCATTGGCACTGCTAAGAGATGTTGCATCCCTTTGCATTTTCTTTCGCATTTATCACGGGGAGTGCTCTGAGGAATTGTTTGGATTAATCCCAGCCGCCAAATTTCACGAACGCACATCCCGGCAGAACTCCCGATACCATCCACACCATCCGGATGATTGGCGATCCACCACTGTGTGATTTAGAAGATGTTTTCTTCCTCGCACGACTTCCTTGTGGAATCGATTACCATCAGCGATTTTCCCGGACCGATACGACTTAGGGACCTTCAAGAAAAGAACCTACTCCTTTTCAAAAGGCCTGCAACGCATCTGCAATTCCCCTGGTTCCCCTGGTGTTGCAGTTATTCATGGGCGGCGGTAGTCACTTACCATCAGGTGAGCCGCATGCTCGTTTGCCCCCTGTCCTATAAAAAAATATTTAAAAAAATTAAGATAATTAATTCATCGCCTACGCCGCAAAGGGGCGAACCTCATTTTTTTTAAATTGCAGGAGAGCAAGGAAACGTTTACTTTTCCCCGATTATTAGCTTTTTATCATCAGAAAATTTAAAATATAAAATGTAATGGTAAACTACAAATACGACCGTATTATATGATAATGGAACTAGACGATTAATACAGCTTTAATGTATTACAGTGCTGAAATTACTATAAAAAAGGTCTGAAAAAATTACGCCTTATCGTCACGTTTCGTGTTGCCCAGGCTCTCCTTTTATCTACTGCTTTTATAGAGTTACACCCTTTTACTGACTTACGAGTACCTACATATAGAATAATATAAATTGTAACGTTGGCATTAAAATGGTAATACGTGATTACTGAAGTCGTCATACTTCTATAGGCTCAGTACGACTGGTGATCATGAGGTCCTTGGTTTAAATCCCAGGTTGGGTCAAAAAAATCAGTTAGTGTGTTTTTCCGTTAAAGACTAAGACACCGCCAACTTCCTGACTCCTCGTGCCTTGGAAATTACGTAAAGTCGGTTATTGATAATGTGAGTGAGGAAATACAGATCACCTGAGCTTGCGCATAAACTTTGGCACTATAATCCTGTCCTGTGCCGAGGGCTAGACCGAATTTCGGTCTGGAGGAGGACATTAGATGTAATTATTGATGATAAAATTGCTTTGTAATAGCGCCATATAGTTTATTCTATAGGTAAAGTCTTTTTATCAAACAAATGGTACAAATGGTACGGAACAATGGCTCAAGATGTTACGTAAAATAGACGCTAGATGGCCTAAACACAACTAATTTAATATATATAGGTAAATTATGAAGTCGTGGATTGTTATGAATGGATTGGATAATTTTATTTAATATGATTAATTTCATTTATTTAATAAATTTGTTAACTTGCTACACTACTGTTTATATAACAGTTAAAAGTAATATTAACCATCGCATCATCATCATTTGGTGGATGGTAGGAATTACTTGAATACTGACTCCCTAAATGTATCCCCTGGGTAGTGCTAAACGAGCATTACTACATACTGGTGGTAGGCTGGTCCTCTAATAGTGGGAGGCCCGACCGAGAGTTAGTTACAACCTATCTGGCAAAGATGTACCGCCAAATGACGCAAGTCGTGTTCCGGTATGATGTTCTATCGTTCTAAGAAATCTATTTCTTTAGGAGAATGACTGGATAATTTCGTTGCGCATAAAAACCTGTTACGGCAGCCGTTTCTTAGTGTCAGCTGCCCGGTTATGGAGATTAGCTGGATCCGAAGCAAGATTGGATCGCTGGTCGACCGTAGATAGTTGGGGGCCCAATTAATGAGCCTACTGAGCTACTCATGAAAGGCTGCTTCGCCTGGGAATCCTTGGATGGTTCTACCATGCCGGTTTTCGACCGGAGGAGAGAACATGGTGGCAATTTCCAGGGGAGTTCGGGCATTCCCGCGATCTCCATGCTAGCATGGTAGGCTATATGTGTGACGCCTCATCCAACTGCCATTTTCACAACCTATTCACTCCACCAATTATGAATAAAAGGAAAAAGAAGGGTAAGTCTTGTAAGTCTTTACAGCGGTTGCACTTCATCTCCATAAAAGTGCATCTCACAAACATCCCAGGCCTGCACTGTAATTTCAATGCAGTCCACTACCACGTTGAGACTGACAAGCCACACTTAGTCTTCTTAACTGAGACGCAGCATATTTTCACAGATTGGATTATATTCATAGATTGGAGCATAATTTCCACCAGCGCGCCGCAGTCTGTGTGTACGTCCGCAACGACATCTGCTGTAAGCATCTCCGTCACCTTGAAGACCCCGCTTTCTCCACGATATGGGTATCGATAGACTCTGTCAAACCATCTGGCAGCAGAGGTTTATGGTCTCTTGCCAAAGCTGTAGAGACAAACTTCTGCCAGTCTACCCATCCTCCGTGGGTAAAACTAGATGAATCATTGACTCTGAAACAATCTTGCTTAAGCCAATAAAAGCTAAACGCCTAAGCGTTTTTTGCATAGAGTTAACTATTAAAGTTGATGATTTTGTGAATAAATAATCGTGTAAAACAGTATTGCAAAACTTTCATAACTTAATTTATTGAATCTTATTATCATCCTCAGCCGGATTGTTACCAGATAATTGAATATATTGTTTTTAAACTGTAAGTGCAATGAAAATTATTTAAATTTTATTACGTTTACCGAATGTATATAAGTAGTATTAAATGATATTTACCCCGCCTTATTAGTAGTACACGATTGAGCTTTCATTAGCTCAGAAGTATGTATAGAAACTATTTCTTGTACAATCTTAACTAAATCTTTATGTTGTAAAAATAATCTAGGAGCTAACAAATCGATCCCATAGTTATATTCATACTAATTACGGCTAAAAGGTAGTGTAATTAAGACGATAGTGCACAAATCAGTTATCAGTAGTTACAAATTCATTGTCATAAAATATGTAATTAATATGTACTGGCTTCAAATGTGTGAATCCGCTACTAAATTACATGATTTAATGCTTCCCTCTCCTTTCCACTATCGGACAACCAGGCGGTCGGCGGGTCTTCAACCCTTCGTTATCGATATTCCACGCATTAGAATCAAACGGTTTGCTTCGTCTATTGTAATGCGTACAGCAAAGGAGTGGAATAATTTGCCGGCGTCTATCTTTAACTCAGAAATCAACACAATCTGGGCGTCTTCAAGGCAAGAGTGATTAGACTTTTGTTACGCTACGACAGTGCGATTTACCGTCTAGGTCTACATCACCACTCACCACCAGGTGGGATTGTGGTCTGGCTTGTAATAAGAAAAAAAATCTCTAATGCACCGCACACAGAGGAGACCGAGATGACAAGAAACACTGTACACTGTATTCCACCTCCATCTCTCGCGGGCTAAGGGCTCATGCCCACGAGACGGTTTTTCACCAGAGCTAAGACCGGCGTCAAACTGGGTCTACGTCTGGTCGTCAGTATTGTATGGGACACTACGAAGCTAGCGCCAGCTCATCGCGCAAATGGTAGTGCCGGCGTCGTGTGATTGACTTCATAGTGTATCCCATACAATACTGAGGACCGGACGTAGACCCGGTTTGACGCCGGGCTTAGCTCCGGCGGAAAACCGTCTCGTAGGCATGAGCCCTAAATCCTAGAGATTCTCTTTTTAGTATTGTTTTTCGTTTCTTCGAGTTTCAAATCACAACGATTTTAAAGAAGTTTTCACTTCGAATTAGAAAAAATTGGCACCCTGTTAGTGATGGCGGCGGCTCGCTGCGCGTAGTGCAGCGTGGAGCGCGTCGTGTCTCGCTGCGTGGCGCCGGGCGCCACGTGCGCCACCATCACCGTGCGGCAGCGCCCGCCCAACACCTCCCGCAGCAGCCGCGTCAGCTTCGAGTCGCGGTAGTTTACGTACCTGCCCAAATCGCGGTTATTTCTTAAAAAGTTTTAGTAGCAATGTGCTGGCCTTATAGCGTATACCCGACAACCGATGTTCTTGAGTGGCCGACTCTTCTGGCAAGTGCAGTGTTGGACGACTACCCACTAGATGGAGTGACGACCTGACGAAATATGTTATAGTGTTCTATAGATGTGGGTGGCTCAGGACCGTACTTTGTGACTTTTTCGGGGTGGGGGGCGGGAGGCTATGTTCAGCAGTGGACTTGTGATAGGCTGTTGTAGTAGGTAGTAGTGCCATGAGGAAGGGGATTACGGTTGTAGCACGCACGGCTCGTGGAAGAACCACGTTCGCACAAAATAGCAGCGTACTACTGCTGTGTCTTGTATAGTAAGGGACGAGAACCGAAAACCATATTTATTGATAAGGAGCATTCCTTTAATCCTTAAAGCATAAGAAAGCATCTGCATTTTAATTCTTGATTGTAAATAGGTAAAAGTCTTTGGACCACAACAACCATGTACCATCGAACGGATTCTGTGCTTGTCTTTAGTTGTGATTCGTTACACAATTAGTATGTTGGTCGATTTATCTACTAATTAAAGCCCAAGACAAATGACAAATGAAAGAAACAGATTCTCTTACGGCGCCAGCTAATAGCAAAATTACGGCTGCTTTGCTTAAATATGTATGTAATTAAACGAACGATACAGTTTCCAAAAGCAAGTTAGTATCAAAGTTATATAATATAGCTCAATTGATTAATAAGAATACGACGACATCATATCCCGTCAAATCTCTCTTAGTTTTATCAAAATGGACATTTCATAGGTGCGATATATTTGTACAAACTTCCATACGTTATATAAGGACGTGATTTGTCTTATAAAATCGTGTTGAAAATGACTTCAAATTTTTATAATTAGGTATTACAGTCCTCAGGTGTAATTTAGTAATTAAACACTGGCTCCTAATAAGGAACAAAAAAGCAAATATTTATTTTTATTTTATGACATTTTTTTTATTTTATAACTAATATTGTTTGTTACCTGGCTCCACCGGATAGGGCCATGATGCAATTGCCCAATGCTAATAAAGATCGATTGATATGCGCCCCCTCTAGCCTTCTCGCACGTAGCCCGGCCCGTTCAGATCCAGCCAGGTCTATGAGAAACAAGCGTCCACGTTGTATGCCTTCGTCCACTTTAGCACACACTGTTACGCTGCAACACAATCTTTATGATGTAGGTTTCATGCTTAAGGGTTAAGTGATATCACACTTTTTCATTCGCCGATGACTTTCCAGAAATGCAAATGTTAAAAATAATATGTAAGTAATACTTGCAATAAAGTTATAAGTTCCTGTAACTTCATTTAGTCCCGTGGATGTCGTAAGGGGTGACAGGGAAATCCCAAAAAGATCTGCTGGCATCCGATTAATGGCGATATAACCATTTCCTTTACGCCAGGCTTTACCCAGAGCACAGGCGGCGAGAAGTGTCAAAGGTGCGAGACGCCTGCTCAACGATCGTCGATCCGTTTGCCAATCATGATAAATACAAGTAGTAAAATTAAAAATATTGTACAACCGACTTCAATATAAATAAAATGAGAACATCATGAATGTAGTCGAAGTCAGTTAAATTAAGTATAACTCAAAAACTACTGGTCAGATCTTGATCAAATTTATATAGGACTACATGAGAAGCACGAACTTTCAAATAAAAAAAGAATCATCAAAGTTGGTTCACCTAGAAAATAATTCTGAGGTAACACACATAAAAAAACAGTAGAATAAAGTGTCTCCTCTTTTTTTGAAGTTGGTTAAAAATAGTGTCTTATACAGTCTGACGACAGTCTGGATAGAGGACGCGAAGCACGCCGTGCTGCCCCAATGCATGTTGGCGGCCTTCACATGTAATATTTTTTTATTCCTCAGAAATGCCAGTTTTCTCAGGATATTTTCCTTCATCACCGAACACGTGGTAAATCAACACTTAAAATTATAATTTTTAATTTCCGCTCGCTTACTGTGAAATTTACGACGACCACTGAACTATTGGACTACCATAGCTCTTTCAGACAAAATGATTGAGGAAAATTCTCCCTACCATGAGAAGGGGAAATTTCAACTAGGAGGGGACTTTACCGAAAATTGTGTGTGATCGAGATAAGGGGTAATATATCCTTTTCTCCAAATCGAAAATGGACGAAGCTCTTGTGGATTTTGTACTGATTGGTAAACGTAATACCATAATAAACGCTGATCCCAAAGTTATATCGATTCATCACCTATCAACTTATTATAATTTTCAATGCGTACCTAAGCAGCGCGTGCCCCCTCGAAGAGTGATGGTTTGCGTGTGTGGGTTCCGCAGTGCGTGCGCGATCGCCCCGCGTTAACAGCTCGGCCACGTGTGCCGCGCCTAGTGCACGCACCTCCAAACATAGACAATAGAAATGTTAATCGATCATTAAATAAAACTAGTCTTATCTAAAATATTTCATTTAACAAATGTAGCCAAGTATCATGGCCATTGTCCGGCCAACTTTTATAGACCCTAGAAATAAAATAACTTTATCATATCTTTATATCTATCAAGATAAATTATGAATGAATGATTGAATATACTTTATTGTGCACTACAAAATAAATATACAAATAACAACAAATAGCAGATTATAATATGTACAATTTGGCGACCTTACCAACATAGCGATCTCTCCCAGGCAACCAAAGGTGTAAAGGAATAAAACAATGAATACTAAGTAGCTGGTGCAATATAAATATACATTAAATTATTAATGTTTACCAGACTGATTTCGATCACGGCAGCCAGTCTCAACGGAGACTAGCCATCTATTCTAGCGTAGTACAGGATTATAGTATATGACTGTATGAGTGTGTGCGAACGTACTGTGCACTCTAAATTTCCTCACTTTCATAGTCCCATGGGACGGAAATCCAACACGACCGGGGAGACATAAGCCGCAGGAACATCGTCTTTACGTGCTTTCTGAGTTATGGGGGTGAAACACCGTTAACTTACTGACTACGGGCTGTTACTGAGTTTCTTCACAGAAAAATCCAAAAACTGATTTTGGTCTGACCCGGGACTCGAACCCAAGACCACATAACCAGCAGTCACGCTTAAAATCAACAGACCTACGAGACAGTTCACTTGTATTGTTGTCGACTTGAAATGTAAAACATTATCTAAATACAACATATCATCTAAATCGTTTGAGCCGTTTCCGAGAAACCAATTACATAAATATGTAAAACATAAATATACAGATAACATATTACATAATAAATATACAAGAATTGCTCGCTTAAAGTATATATAATATATACTTTAAACGAGCATAAATTAATAATCAAGGAATAGACTTTCCTTCGATCTTCCTTCTATTCCTTCAACAACAGTTAATATAAAATGTGTGAAAAGATAATCAAAAATTTTGTAAACCTTAGAAAAATGTAATTACTTCGCTAAGACCAGCTACTACAGGTGCGCCGTGGCTACCCTCGTCGCGTAACTCTAGCGGGCCCGCGCTAGGATTAAGCAGGTCACGAATGTTTTCGTTGTAGATCTCGATGTATGACAGCTTTACCTAAAAATGATAAACATAGAATTATTACACATAGACACGCAGTCTAGTACAAAGCACGAGCGTTAAAATGACGCAAGGTCATTATGTTAGTGGGCGCGAGTCGAATGTGCCTACGCTCATCACACGCACACATATACGCCATTCAGTGATACCAGTTTCTGGCGTTTGCAATCAAATTGTGCAAATCACTATTTTTTTATTAATTAAAAATAAAAATCGATTTAATAAAGATTACGTATAACGTACGAAGATGTATTTTAAGAGAATATAAAATGGAATAAAATAAACACAATAATGATGGTACTAATATAACTTTATTGTACATATATTAATGGTACAAAAATGCAGACGTAATAAAATTTAAGAATATTATTAAATACAATTAATTTACTCGAATACAATAAGCACATCGTGTAATATTTAATTTTAACCGACTTCAAAAAGGGAGGAGGTTATTAATTCGGTGTATTTTTAAATGTTTTTTACCTCAGAATTCTACAATTTCAAATCCTATAGATTTTTTTTATTTGAAAAGATATACACACAGATTGATCCAATATACACGCTGAAATTTTAATGGTTGTTTTCCCGAAGTAAAATGATTTTGCCTTAGTAGTACAATAGATTTATTAAAATAAAATTTATTAGGATATAAAAATGGCAGATTTACAATCGAGAAAAACAAAACTCGAATGCGATCTCAAAGCAATAGCAATATCCCGCAAGTAGGTCGGGCGTGCAGGCTAGCTTATACCGAATTAATATAATAAAGTCTGAAAAAAAATTCGCTGGACGTATTGTAGTGTTACGTCTATCGCACGCGCTACCGCGCGCTTCCTATACAGTGGAGGGCCAGTAATAAATGTTCATAACATGAACTCTCAAGCGTAGTGATACGACATAAACTAGTCTGGACACCCGATTAATTTGTGAGGTATTACTTTTATAAATCTGCCCCTTTTTTATTGTAATATTTTTTAATTTAATAAATTGACTCTACTATCGAGACAGTATAATTTGGCTGCGGGACAACAACCACTAAAATTACAGCATGTATATACGAATTGATCAAGCTTAGAAATCAGTGTACATACATATTGATAACCTTTCTTTTTGGGAGTCGGTTAAAATAGGCTATGTTTAACTAACTACACTAAGGCTACGTATAAGGTAACATCTGGTTAATGTTTGGGTGTAAAGTGACATCTGGTTAGTAAAGGCGTTCTTATTAATAATCTCTTGATGTTGTAAATAAAAAAGTTTTTATTCTGTACTCTAAAACGTAGCCTTAGTCAATAAACTAAGCAATTAAAATAAAATAGTTGCGTTAAAATGGCGTCAACGTATCGCGATTAGCTGATCACTCCGTATTAGTTTTAAATATGCACCCATTGTTAATATAATGTTAAAACTTAGAGAAGTAGGTATCTATATATAAACATTTGAGTTTTACACAGAGCGTTGCGATTAGATGTTTAAACGCAAATAGAAAATAAATATTTTTAAAAGACAATTGTGATTTTTCCCCACTACTAGCAACATTTGTATTATGAGAGCTTAGGTAAGTATTTTTTTAGTTTTACGTACTTATAATGAATTAAATGTATAAACTATATGTGAAATGTAATACTATCATTTCTTTTATGTTTATCATCACCGTTGTGAAAATATTTTACAACACAAACGGTAATTTTTACAATTTTTCGCGAGCTCTTCTCCGTAAGACGTGACGTTGCGCACTGACGCGTCGCTGCGTGCTGCGTGAACTTACGCGGTTTCGCGTTAGTTTTACTTGCTTCACTTTCGGTGCGCGTACTAGTATTCTATGCGTAATAATTATATGATGATAAATTTTATTGAAAAAGTTAAAAAAAATTACGGCGACTCAAAATCATCACAATTATCATTGTATCATCACCGCTTTGTTACAAATCTGTGCCAGATATAAAAATAATAATATTTTATTTGCATAACACATGGTATATAATAGATTTTACAGAACGTTTCAGATCAGCATGTTTTGCTACGGTTATTCATAGCATGCAATTTTTTTTTAAATTAATATTTTTGGCTACAATAATCCTTAACACTATAGAAATTACAATAATTAGCCACTGATATAGTTTTAATTTAAATGATCTTGTATTTAATATGTTTAAGTAATTGGGTATCTTATTATATAAGTGAACACACATAAATTAACAACTTTTATAATATTTTCTTATTCTAGGATTATCGTTTAGTACAAGTCTATAAGGATCTCGACGACTGCGGGGATTTACATCATCTATCGTTATAAACAACGTTTTGTGCTTCTGTACAAACATACATACTTCATAGATATAAAGTGATGGTTAGTGGTAATAAGCCAAGTTTTTTAAACGCTGGTTGACACGATTAATTCGGTTTTAGCCCACATTTAGCTCTAATACATTTTTTTTTGCGCGACAAATGCTTTATTTTGATCAGTGCTGTTGCCCCACATTATAAGACCATACCGCAGTAAAGATTCTACGTATGCATGGTAGGACATGACAGCGGTTTTTATGTTTGTTATGTTTTTTATTTGTTTAAGTGCATACACGAATTTATTTATTTTGATAGAGACATCGTTCACATGTGGTTTCCAATTTATATTGTCATCTATAATTAAACCTAAAAATTTCGTATTTTATTTTTGGAATGTTAAGTTTAAGATTATGTTTATTATTAGTGCATTTATTAAATTGTATATATAAAGATTTGTCTAAATTACTTTTTAAATTATGTATGTCAACCCAATTAATTAAAGTATCTATTGTATTATTTATGTCAGCTTCGTGGTCACTCATATTATTAATTTTTTTATTGGAAGTCACGATTATTGAAATGTCATCAGCAAATAGAATACATTTATGCTTCGTCATATTGACAATGTCATTTAAGTACAACCAAAACAGAATTGGACCGAGAACACTTCCCTGTGGAACGCCATATTTATTGCTTCGGTATTCGGACGAGTACGGTATTATGTCCCCATTTACATCTGCTTTAGTAACAATAACACATTGTTGCCTATTATATAGATATGATTTTATCCTTTGAAGCGTTGGTCCTCTAATTCCAATCTTTTCCAATTTCTGTAACAATAGGTCATGTGAAACTAGGTCAAAGGCTTTAGATAGGTCAAAAAATACTCCCGTGGTAAAATTATTATTATTGACATTTGATAGTATTATTTTTATGAGTGAAAAAATCGCCAAAGTTGTAGATTTATCTTTTTGAAAGCTGTACTGTTCGTTTGATATAATGTGATATTTATTAAAAAAATTCAGTAAGTGTTTTATACATGCATTTTTCATATATTTTTGATATAACGGATATTAGGGTTATTGGTCGATAATTATTAATATCATATTTCTCTCCTTTTTTAAACAGCGGCTTAACTATTGATAGTTTCAATGTATCTGGAAAGGTTCCACATGAAAATGAAAAATTAATTAAATATGTCAAGATTTCAATTAATTCATTTATACATTTTTTTATTATTTTTGTGTTTATGTCATCGTAACCTTCAGAGCTAGTATTTTTTAATAGCATTATTTCCCTTCTAACCCCTTTTTCAGACATAGGTCTAAGAAACATAGAGTTGACATTCGCGCTGCTAATGGTTACATTTTTCGCTGTAGTGTGTGTTGTTGATTCACGGGTCAAATCAATAAAATGATTGTTAAAAGCAGTAGCTACATCTACAGGATTCGTAAGAACATTATTATTAGCTATAATTTTTTCTATATTTTTCTTGTCATATGGGTTAGATATTTCTTTTTTGATAATGGTCCATGTTGCTTTACATTTGTTATCATTTTTATTTATAAACTTAATATTAGTTTTCTTTTTTAAATTAAATACACATTTTTAAGAGCTTAGAATATGACAGGTAACGTATTCTGTTAGCATTACTTTTATTTTTATAATATTTAAATCTTAACATTCGTTTTGCTTTACAACTTACTTTGAGGCCTTTGCTTATCCAATTTGAATTCGTTGTTTTGGAAAACAGAGATAGTAGAAAAGGCAAAATAATTCATGAAATCGGCTGAATGCTGTGTTAGCATCATTTTCCATGTATGCTTCAGACCATGACAAATTTTTCAGACATTCTTTAAACTTCCTAATGTTATCTAAGTTATAGTCTCTCTTGTAAACATAATATATACATATAGCATGTTTTTGGGGCTTGCATTTTACAGGAAAGCTTAACAATTGTGCTGTGTCATGATCGGAAAGATACAGTCGTAGCAATGTTGCAGTCGCATTTTGAATGTTACTTAATATATGATCAATACAAGATGACCTACGTGTAGGAACATTGAAATGTATATTCAAGTTATAATTATACGACAAATCTTGTAAATAGTTTGTGATTTTGCCTTTTTTTAGTGTGTTTATATTAAAGTCTCCAGCTATAACTATATGTAATTAAGATATAGGCATTAGCAAGGAAGATGGTGGTTTAGTGATAGTGTATTTTTTTTAATTATTTTTTTTTTTTATATTAAGAGTTCGACTTTGTCGACACGTTCTGCGTCATTAGTTTTAACAATTTTGAATAGGCTTTTGTTACGATAAGACAGTGCGATTTACCATCAAAGGCTGCAACACCACCTACCAACAGGTGGGATTGTGGTCAAGGCCCTGGTTTATGATAAGTAAAAAAAATTATCCTAAAATCCCAATGTTTAATTAAGGGGTTATTCTGTCATTTGGCGGGATAACTCTAGCTGTGCTCAGCATATCGTTTTGTTATCATTTTTAAAACCAACTAAAGCTAATTGGAGCATTTTCTTAACTCGCCACCATACGGCGAACAAATTAATGTACGATTATGATAATACTTAAAAATTCGATCCATCCATCCATTCATTACAGTCTGTAAAAGTCCACTACCGAACATAAGCCTCCCCCATAGATATCTATCATAGATTTTATCATAATTGCCACGCTTGTAGGCGGGTAAA